ATGCGTCAGCCATCACAAGCATGATCTACGGTTATTTGCCAAGGTCCAGTAATTGGAGGTGCGCTTTTGTACGCTGACACTTCAATGTCGCTGACGTTTAATGAATAAAATTGCTATCTTTGTCTATAGCATGGATAAAGCTAATATTGTCATGGCTTATTTCACGGAAACACGAATATGTCTAAATTTAAGTATTACTTAATAATTCCTGCGAACTACAAAAAAATGCTATCCCCATTGTGGATGATAACAAATTCAAATGTATGCGTGATTAGGGTGGTTTGAGAAATTTACATAGGTACCATTTCCGAGCAGTGGAAGGCTTTTACGGATAAATGTACGTTTACTGTCACAAATGAAGCCTCGGAGGGAGTTAACTATTAGCAATTGGCCAGGTTATTAGCCGTTCGCTATAATTAAGGTCGATAAAAACTAGAAGCAGACGAGAAGTGACTTGGGAATAACAGCTCAGACTGCAAAATGCAATTAACATGCCTCAATCTGAATAATTGAGTTCGGATAAAGGTTTTGTTTACTAACACTATATTTTTAATAACATTTTTTTTAAATAACGCACACATTCAACATAGCCCCGCACTAGGGAAACCCTGTGTCGCGGTTGCTATGGACACACACATAGACAACCACAAATTACACCCAAACTCACGAGAGAAATAATTGTAGGCCATACAACTATTTCTCCCGGCCCGGGAATCGAACCTGGGACCTCTGCGTGGCAATCCGGCATGATAACCGTTCAGCCATGGAGGCAGTTTATATAACGCAACATTCACGGCTCAACAAAACAGATAACCAGGAATTTATGTTTTACAAAATTTCTATAAAACGCAGGAGAGTTACTGAAATGGTAAATATACCGTGCATATCCTGATTGAGTTAATAATAAGGAATTAGTCGACTGGCGGTTTAGGTCGTCGACCTAAGACGCCAGTCACACCTGCGCCTGCGACGAATATCTGAGCTGGCGGATGGCGCCAAGGTCGCGAGCTTTTTAGGGTCTGTTTGGTGCTCGAACATTTTTTTTAATGTGTAGGATGAGGCTTTAGAGGATGTCGGAATAAAACTACATATATTTTATATGTTATAAAAGTATTTATATACATTAATTAGTAAATAAACTAAAGAAACACGTACTGATTCTTTAAGTGATAATAATTATTTTGAAAATTAATAAATATAAAGATATGTAATAGGTAGCAAACACTTAACGTGTAAGTTATAAATTTCTGGACATCAGTTCAAAAAATGAAATAAGCGTTACTTGCAAAAAAAGGAAAGAAAACTTTCCCAAGCGCGGTGATGAATAAGTAGCACCATTAGATTTATAAATTGCCCATACTAATAACGGTGAAAAATGTGGATAAAAACAATGGAAAAAATTATCATTAGGATGTCGTTCATGCTAAAAAAAGGGTACTAAGTACAAATACTTACACATGTGGTAAGGATATTGGACTTGGTGACCGCTACGAACAGTTGGTTACGCTTTATAATAATTCCATTTTTGACTAACACAAGTATCGAGATTTGAAGTTTAGAAGTTGACTGAGCACTAATCGTACGAATTCTGTTTGTTTTTAATTACCAAACGACTTCTATTTTAATGACATTAGTCCATGATAAACACGTTGATACACCAAGTTTATGAGTGGCAACTCCACGTAATGCTTATTGTTGAAATGCATCAAGTTTAAACAATGATTCAATAGGTTTGATATCTACAATAGCGCCAGTATAAACAATAGTACTAATAGAAGTTATAGGTGGAGCAACGGTGCACCAAACCCGAACATGTAATAAATGTAACAAGACAAAAATACATTGAGTGTTTTGAATCACTGCAAGTGCAGGGTTAACACGTTAGTAAACTTGTAGCCTCGGCATACCGTACTTTAAATCATACGGTACGATAATTGTTTCGAAACAATGGAGACCGAAAATTTTGTACGAACAGTACGCGAAATTATTGAAAAGGAAAAGACCCGAATCAAAACAAACGCTTAATTTAATTATGACAATAGGAAAAAATATTGTGATCTTATTGGTACAATAAGTGTCAAATTACCTTCAGAGATTGTAGGCAACACGTTGACAAAGTTAACAATTCCGACGCCTGTTAGCTGACTCATTCACCAAAACAAATTGTGAGACGTTACTTCCAAGAACTGTCAGCTGACAATATCCGTGAAAATGTAGCAAAAAGGAAACAAAACAATGCAACTAATACAACACTCGTCACTTATCACGTCGCCCACATAGATAAACCGCTATTTTATTCAGTTTTTGGCACTACAAAAATCACAAAAAATACGCGATAAAACAAACATGAGATACACAAGTGGTTAGAACCGTTAGATATTAGAATGGTGAAGCCACTGAACACACTTTCCGTAATAAGCGAGAGAAAAGTGAAGTATCACATGAGAGCGACCTAGAAAAATGATGCGCGTGCGCCGTGGTGCTTGTTCGAAGCGCCAGGCCGGACTGTGCATGGGCCGCAGACAGCAAGCCAACGCCCGCTCACCAGTTCACCTACTCTTATCTCGCTATGACGAAGTGTTGCTCATTCCGCAAGCTTACTTGACTGGTTACTTATAAGAATGCATTGAAAGGAGTTTGTATAAACGTAGAATATTGCATCCAGTACTTACGAACTCAATTACTTTTTTATGCTGTAATCATATTAATGGGAAGCGGATAAATTAAACGGTGTAGTTTAGAGTATATTAAGTTATATTCTTAAAATTTGTTCTATATCAAGCGATCGTTTGATGATTGTGATGATTAAGTTTCGTCGTTATTACCGTTCTTTTGAATGATCTCCATCACCAGTATCTGTCGCTTCTGTAGAGTGATTGAGTAATAAAATACAACTTCAAGAGTTACGTTTTACTCCAGGAAGGTAAGAGGCACATAACGTCAGTCTTCTGATGGTGAAATTATCTCATAATAGCCCTGTATTAGCTCGTCACGTGAGACATCAAGTATCATTGCTTTGTACTTGGGTCACGCTCGTAATTGTCACATGTTTCAAGTGTTGGAAATATGAGAATGGTTTGTGTGGCATGTATTAGAATGTACGTTTTATTCCTATATGATATCGACACTGGTTGTATAACGTTGCTTATTTGTTTTCTTAGGTTTTATAACAAACACATTAAAGTCGTGTCAGACAAGCTGAGTTGTTCAAAAGACTGTACCTGCGGTACGGATTTCAATATTAAAACATTACTATTTATTGTAGGTAAATACATTGATTATACCGCTATCTGTATTTACCTATTTTATATAAAAGTATCGCCGTACCTTGAACTTCTACAATTTAAAGAAGTGTTGCAAAACACAACATATTCCGATATTCCTTAAAAGAAATAAATTCTATTTAAGAAGTATAAAATGTCCTCGATGTAATATTTCAAAATTAGCTCATATATTATATTGTTTATAGCACGCCACATGCGAGGTCAATGTTGTGTAATATTAAACTACATAGAGATTACAATTTTAACACTATCAATTGAAACACAAATACATTTAGTAGTAAAACTATATTTACGGTTTGCAACTTTATTGTAAAAGCAATAAATGTAACGTTTAGGCAATGAAATGTGGAAAATGAAGTTACGTTAAGTTATCACGTAAATCTTATGTCATGACTGAGTGTAGTAATTTTTTTTTATAACATTGCGCATTTGACCTCTATCTCACGTGATGGTAAGTGACGATGGTCTATTCCACTAGTCCCTACCAGCTGTCCCCTCTGTTGGGGACACGTGGTTTTTTTTGTCACTTCCCCACCACACCATCACTGGTTGGGATAAGTGAAATTTAATTTTCATTCATTTCCACTTATCCCTCCCTATCAATAAAATCTCTTGACTTGTACAGTACAGTTTCGACAAAAATATCTAATTATAATATTCACAGTAATATCTTTTTGATAGATAATTGTAGCTAGTGGGTATTTTTTTATTGAAGGAGTCACGATAAAATAATGAAGAAACATGTAACAGTCAATATGAACGCGCCACACCACAAACGCGCCACGGCATTGCTTCTATCAGCGTGTAATTTGAAGGCACCCTTAGCAGGAGATAAATAACCATGTTTTTACGACGACAGCTGGTAGGAATTAGTGGAATGACGATGAGATCGACGATGGAGCATGCAAACCTAAATAATGCCTATTCACTCTCGCCTTGGAAAGGCCCAAGTTATAAGGTTTTCTATATTTCCAATAATGGATTTAAATACATTAAAAAGGACAACCCAAAATTTAGATTTTTACTTAATTTTTTTTTATGATACACTGATGAACAAACCGTGCGCCTGGTAAGCGACAAGCTTGTCCATAACAGTGGCAGTGCTGCACAGAGCTTCAAATAGCAAAGATCTGAGGAGTACTGCCACTGCCCTCGTCACCATGAGGCATAAGTTGACGAATCCTATGTGCCTGTAATTTCACCTGCTTGCCGGCAGAAATAGGTAAGGTGGCAGTTTTTCCCTAGACAAACTCTTTCACAAGGAGCTCTATTGCTACTGTATTCCTACAAATAAAATGATACAGTTCTAACTGCTACCTTATAGTCAATAGAATACCTATGTATGTCATGGAAACAATCCATATGGGACATCACGATGTCACGTGTCGTCCAAGTATCGATTGTAGTCCGATTTCATTAAACTTTCATGAGACGAATCTACCAAGTGCACGACAAATCTTTTCACATCTGTAAAGTAAATGAAGCATGATGCAAATGTAGTCTTATTTTCTGTCACAATAGACAACTGACGGCCTTTCAAGTGGTAATTTGCTATTTTAATTTTAGATCTCTCATTGTTATTCGTGTGATTTCAAAGTTGCGATGTATTTGCTGGAACATATTTAGACAACTTTAAACAAAAATATGTGACAATGATATTACATGAACGGAAGGAAACCATTTTTCATTACTATTTTATTAATTTAAGTAACTTACTTCTTTTGGAAGTTCCAAAGTCATCGTCGTGGCCATTGTACGTTCGATCTTCATCGTACTCGTAAACCTTGAAACTCTCGAAGGAATACAGCTTGCCGGCTTTTGTATGCTTCTCCAATGAAACTAGTCCTACTCGCTTTGTTCGAGCCTTTAACGCTACTTTAAGTGCTACTCAGCTACCAACCTGTTCTTCGCAAACTAATAAAAGACGCTGGAACTAGAATCACTTAACTAACTTAGCTACACTGTCCTTTCCAATTACACAACACTCCCTCAAACAAGGGTTTCAGTTTCAGTCCCAAAATAATGTCCAAACAGAAGTTTCGTCACCTCGTTTCGCGAATGGAAACTGTTTACAATCGTTTCAATAACTTCCTGCCGTCAGAAGCGGAGTTACGCACAACTATTGTGATAGAAGCAACAATAAGAACGAATTCGTATCTGCAGAAATGTGACGTCAGAAATTCCGAAGATGTAGTAATCGGAAGTTCGTAGATGCGACAGGTCGTACGGGCGGGAGCGCTCGGGGACGCGGCCGCGTGTAGTCTGGCTAAGGTGCAGGAGCCGACTCGCCGCGCCGGCGCCTGGAACTGTGTCAGGCAGCAGACGCGACCGCGGCGCCCAGAGCCTGCCGCCCGGCACCCGGCGCCCAGCTACGCGGCCTTTCATACACCTCTCCCGTCTCGTACCCGTGGCATAAGTATAATCGTTACAGCATACATATGTGACAAAAATAAACTACCCTGATTAAACGTTATCAATCGAAAATAAGCACATTATAAACACAGTTTACCTAGAATTAAATATTTCAGCTCAGCTCTATTATTAATAATGAAACCCTCCATGAATACCGTAGGTACTGTTATTAATGAATAAATGAAAAATAGAGGCACGTTAATAAACAGCGTCTTGTTATTTTCTGAGTACCATGAAAGCCTTATCCGACCGGTATGAATGAAAGCGGCGCTTTCAGCGAAAACAGCCTTCGTGTAGCGAGAAATTGGATAATGCTTTTTCATTTCAATGCTTGCTAATGAGCAATGAAAGGAAGTGTAAGAGATTACGAGTTAATAAAGAGAACCTCTACGCCTTTACGGGTAGTTCGACATTGTGGCACACGTTTAGTTTTATTATTAAAACATTCGCGTAGTAATCCGGTAAAATGGATCTTTTAGAAAAGTTAGCGCTTTAACAGCGGAAGTCTCTATGGATCGGCTTATGTTAAATTGGAGGGGCTTTCGCGCCATCCCTCTTTGCCCTAATAATGTTTTATTCAACTTTACGTAGCCACAATAATCTGTGAATTCGGAGTAGTGATTTTCAATTATTTTCTTGACTTAACTAACTTTGTGTACTGCTCCAGGCCTTGCTAACGTAAAATTGTAAGTATTCAAGGAAACGAAGTAATTTATATCGTAGTAAAACTAGGTTGCTGGGTGAAACATGGATAAATTATAGGTAACTTGAAGCCTTCTGATGAAAGTAATTTACTTAACGAAGGTAATAAAACGGATCCGTTAATTGGTCCTTAAGGAAATTTCAAACCTTTTTTTTTAATGTAATATCAAATGACGGGATGAACGAGTTGTGCGCCTGATGGTAAGCTACACGCCTGTCCATAACAGTTGCAGTGCTACGCAGAGCTTTAATCGTAAAGATCTGACGGACACTGCCACTGCGTCCGTCACCCTGAGACATAAGTTGACAAGTACCATGTGCCTGTAATTTCACCAGCACCCTTACCCTTTAAAACCGGAACACAGTAATGCTGACATTACTGCTTGGCGGCAAAAATAGATAAGGTGGCAGTACTTACCTGGACGAACTCTTTCACGAGGAGCTCTACTGCTACTAAAAACCTATAATAAACAAGTATTTGTTACAACTAATAGTTTTCTCTCGTTAGTCTTGAATTGAAGCAGTCGTTTTGTAAAAATATTTTATTACAACACATAGTGCAACGTCGCTTGTAATTTTTTAATAATATAATATTAATGATAATAATAACGCACGCACCTACATAATATAGCCCCGCATTAGGGAAACCCTGTATCGCTGGTGCCATGGACACACACATAGACAACCACATATTACACCCAAAAACTCACGAAATAAATAAATGTAGGTCATATTTAATTTCTCCCGGCCCAGGAATCGGACCCGGACCCTTTGCGTGGCAGTCCAGGATGGTAACCGTTCGGCCAAGAAGGCAGTTAATAGTAAGATACATATAAGTATGTTATAACAATATGCTTAACATATTGATAGACACAACACAAATAAAACAACCACAGACTGCTTATAAGGTCGCCCATAGCCGACAGATATGGCAACTTGCGTAAGCAATGTCTACAAGTACCATTCTTTGTTGTCTAATAGGTATCCATAAAGTTCGATAGCTGCCTTTGTTCTAAAAACATTATTTTAACAGAGGCTGGTGAATACTAGCACTTAATTCGTGTCAATGTCGCAACAATAGCATACAATTAGGCAGCCAAATTTTTTGTTTGCCGCGTACGATTTTTTAATTAGGGATAGCAATAATCATTACATTTGTTTTAATAATTGTTCACTAGGCCAATTACAAATATCCACTAAATAAATACTGTCTAAACGAATAGAACCAATATTAGACGTTAAAAAAACTAGAAGAGACAAAAAAAAAATTTAATAAACAATAGGTTCGTTGGGTCCTATTAGCTAATAGGACCCAACTAACAGCTAACTTTAAACAAAAAAAAGAACAGATGGCGCTACGGCAAAAAGTCGTTAAAATAAAAGTTCTGCAATAAGCACATAGAAAAATCGTGGTCCGCTGGTACATTCCGTGGTTTAGTTGGCATAGCGTCTAGCACGGTTTGCTGGAAGGCGCTGGTTGGGATTCAGCCGGATCGAAGAATTTTTTTCATAGTGTTCGATCTTTATAATCATTGATATCATCATGATAAACCACACACATCTTCACGTAGCCTTCAAAAATTATTTAACTTGAGTTGTGTCATCTACCGTATTCATCCGACATAGCCCCTTCAAATTTTCAGTTGTTTCGGTCTTTACAATTTTTAAATGGACACGTCTTTGATAACGAAACCATCAATCAAACGACACTCAATGATGTATTTTATAAAAAACAGGAATTTTTATAAAAAGACAATTCTAAAATTACCTCAAAAGATAGCAAAAGATCAACATGGACAACACATAACTGGTTAAGTTTGATATTTATACAAATGTTTTTCGTTTATACTTTGATATCGTACAGACTTTTTGGCCTTCCCAATAAATGTATAAAACATACATGAATACGAACATACATAATACACATAAATAACTCTAAGCAAGATGCGTACGACTGAAAACCACTTAATTTTTTTAATATAAAATGCCTGTTGGGTGACGATGTAACCGAAATGTCACCCGATTTTCTAAAAATAGCTTGGTACAACAATTAAATTACTGAATAAATACTTCTGTATATAAACAAAGTAAATGTAGTCGATGTTGTCGGTACTAATAATCGCCGTAACAGTTCAAGTCATGAAAACTGCCACCATATTAACTGGAAACTTTGAGCACTATGTAGACAAACAAAAGCGTAATAATAATATTATTTATTTTGTTGTGTTTGTAAAAATGTAATTTCTAAATTACCATTACAATAATATAACTGTTTTATCGCAGCTAATGAAGATCTGCTTAAATCCTATGAAAGGATCAATGCAAGCACGTAATAGTACGAAGAAGCGTGTGAAAATTGAATTTTTATCGTAATTTGTGGAGTGGAAAGCGGATATGAAAATAGTGCCGTGTATTTGATGTGACGTAAAGGTACCATTATCGACACAAGCTAAAGCAACTCTTTGGCAATTCAAACACCCACGCACAATGGCATACAGAAGGCCTGCATCTAACAAATTATACGACGTTCTTTAAAAGTGAGGTGACTATTTCCACGAAATTTGTCAAGTAAGTAATGGTAGAATGTTTACACTAATAATTCAGGTGTTTTGATTTTTGTCTGCAAGCATTCATTGCGTAATTGCATACGGAAGCAACAAAACGAGAATTGCCTCTAATGTACTCCAAAAGAATAAATAATAGATATTAAGTACATGTGCAAAATAAATGACCTATAAGCTGAAATTACATCGATATGACTGACGTGTTCGCATTCCGAAGCCCAGGTTACAATAAGATCTATCAACTATGTAGTTTATGTGTAAGTACAAAAGATACCCAGGTCGTACACCAATCAGAATGACTCGCTCTGTGCTGGAATTATAAATATTGGACAAAATTGAGATTCACTTGCGACTACCTGCACTGGGATTTTCTGTGATATGTTGTTGGCATAGTATGAGAATAAATAATTAAAATCTTGATGCAAACGCAGCTACAAAACGCACTTGAGGGAAAATTAATATTACTCGATTCTCACTGGCATGCCTCGAATTTTCCACATATATTTCAAAAGACAGCGTGCATATCCCACCACTTAAAAATCGTACATTTTAAATAATTCATTAATAAACGCATCGTTAATTCTATGATAATACGACGTACAATACGTATAATACGACCCTTCCCGGTGGATCTTAACCAATGACAGCACGAAAAAGCCGCCATCGTCCCGGCATTTATTTCATTCATGAAATCAATTCGCTCACATCAAAATACACGCACACATTTGCAAAAAACATAGTGGAATACGACTTAATAATGGCGGCCCACAACCCGAAGATTATCGGGTTATCATCGAATAGCGTTCACGTAAATTTAAATCTTTTTTCCACTCAGATACAGTTTATTTTTAAACACCGATGACTTTGGCGATAATCGCCAACTTACAGGAAAAAAACTCAAAGTTAATTCCTGTAAATTGCCAGCTATGATATTAATACAACTAAATAAGAAATATGATTTCATCTGTGCTTTGATCTGTGCCGTGAGTTCTACTCAATTTATTTGGGTAATAATTTTTATGAAAGAACATACATATTTATATTTCATTTTTACTCGCGAGAATAAAAGAGACAGGATCCTAAAATGCTTGACAACCGGACATTGTTGGAATCTGATGCCCGCGTATGTAATTATTACGATTACGGAGTTGTTGTCTTAAAATTTGTGATTGCATTGTAATTCAAAAGAAACGGGACATACATAGTTTGAAATGCTGGTTAATTTCTTAAAACAGTGAGTGTTGTGAGTTAGCCTTCAAATAAAAAACTTGACTATAAATATCTATAAATATTTTTGTGTTTATGTTTATGGATATGGGGAATTTAATAAACCCACTAAAACCCAGTAGGCGACAATAACATTACTGAAAGGTGCAAAAAGGTAGGTATGCAACTCAAAATTACGGATATTTGGTATTGAAGCTAATTACTCTTGGTTCGTTTATAAGTCATTAATTCACTCAACTTGACCTATTCTTATTGGAGTTAGTGGCTTGCTTTTCTATTGTATAGAAGGAATTAAACCTTAAATGGTTTTTTTGTGGGTTTCAAATTATTTAATGAT